TACAGGGTCAGTTCCAGGGTCAGTAAGCTATATACAGGGTCAGTTCCAGGGTCAGTCAGCTATATACATGGTCAGTTCCAGGGTCAGTAAGCTATATACAGGGTCAGTTCCAGGGTCAGTAAGCTATATACAGGGTCATCTCCAGGGTCAGTAAGCTATATACATGGTCAGTTCCAGGGTCAGTAAGCTATATACAGGGTCAGCTCCAGGGTCAATTCCAGTACCATATTTACAATGTGCAGGGATATTGGAGTGGTAAGGGTAGATATGTATAGGGGTAAGGTGACTAGGCATCAGGATATATGCTTTTGTGTGTGTGCTTGTGTGTGTGTGAGTGTGTTTGTTTGTGTGTGTGTGTGTGTGTATGTGTGTGTGTATGTGTGTGTGTGTGTGTGTGTGTGTGTGTGTGTGTGTGTGTGTGTGTTTGTGTACACATTTTACTATACTTGTGAGTACCAAAACTCCTCACAAGAATAGTAAACCAACTAAAATTCAGAGAAGTGAAGGCATTTTGCCGGTCCTCACTTGTAAAAATTATATATTTTAAGCTTAGGGGTTAGGTTTAGGGTTAGGGTTAGAATTAGGGTTAAGGTTAGGGGTTAGTGGTAAGGTTTAGTGTTAGGGTTTAGAGTTACGGTTAGGTTTAGGGTTTAAGGTTAGGGTTATTGTTAGGGTAAGGTTTAGGGTTAGCGGTTAGGGAAAATAGGATTTTGAATGGGAATAAATTGTTGGTCCCCAAAAAGTCCTCACAAGTATAGTAAGACATAGCTGTGTGTGTATGTGTGTGTGTGTGTGTGTGTGCGTGTATGTGTATGTGTTTATTTGTCTGTGCTTACCGGGCAGGCAGTTGGTTCCTCCTCCCTCTTGCAGACAGTAATGTTGTGGTAACAGTGTGACAGGTCTACCTAGGAGCTCAGTAATGTTGTGGTAACAGTGTGACAGGTCTACCTAGGAGCTCAGTAATGTTGTGGTAACAGTGTGACAGGTCTACCTAGGAGCTCAGTAATGTTGTGGTAACAGTGTGACAGGTCTACCTAGGAGCTCAGTAATGTTGTGGTAACAGTGTGACAGGTCTACCTAGGAGCTCAGTAATGTTGTGGTAACAGTGTGACAGGTCTACCTAGGAGCTCAGTAATGTTGTGGTAACAGTGTGACAGGTCTACCTAGGAGCTCAGTAATGTTGTGGTAACAGTGTGACAGGTCTACCTAGGAGCTCAGTAATGTTGTGGTAACAGTGTGACAGGTCTACCTAGGAGCTCAGTAATGTTGTGGTAACAGTGTGACAGGTCTACCTAGGAGCTCAGTAATGTTGTGGTAACAGTGTGACAGGTCTACCTAGGAGCTCAGTAATGTTGTGGTAACAGTGTGACAGGTCTACCTAGGAGCTCAGTAATGTTGTGGTAACAGTGTGACAGGTCTACCTAGGAGCTCTGCACCCTGACACCACTTCATACTGGTTCTCTTCTCTCAATATTCTGTCTTGGTTGATTTGATTATAAAACAGGGATGTGCCAGCATACAGAATAATTAAGGCTGGCAGGGCCCTCACACTATATCATGATACATAGATCACGATGACATACATATTGTGATTATATATGCCTCACAATTCTCTATGTAGCCCATTGCAATTAGATTCTGCAATAGGATGGAACTACAGGTTGTTGTAATGCATTACATTTGGAATACTATGGTACTAAGGTCTTTTAAATATAAAAACTGTTTGCCTGATAAATCTGCTTACAACTCCTCGACGTCAGAACATATCTGATAATATGTCATTTAACCGTTGAATCAATACAGTATTGCATTAATTAGCACTATACTGTTTTTTTCCCTGGCCCTAAGAAAGGATGTTTATTGTGGTGTCCAATGTCCTTGGGGTGCTTGGACCCTAAAAGTTAGAATAAACTATCACCTTTAACTAAGAACCTGCTGGGAATGTTTGTTTGCTTCTTTGAGAACACAGAGATGCTTCTGCTTGGTCGTGTCATGATTTCTCTCTCTTGGACTGAGCCCAATTGATCATGGTGAAAATTGTTCAGTAGTTTCCAAATACCAAGTAGTATCATGATGTGTATAATAATGACAAATAAGGTTTACAATCTGGCAACCATTGACCCCAAACTTGACAAGCATCCCTTTGGGCTACAAACATTCACCAATGATCATAAATACGTGTACTTTAATAAACCATTAATCAATCTTATATCAATTACAGAAAGGTTGTATTTGTCCTGGAATAAAGTAGTGTACATTTGAAGGAGAGACCCTTCAGAAAGTGATCTGTTGTCTCAAGAAGCAGGCAAGCAGAACGTGCATGGGCTCAGTGAGAGCTGTTTACCCTCTTTAGGACCTATAGGCACCAGTGTGTACCATAGAGATTGTTTTTCTATGGTGTGTACACTGTAAGTGAGAGAGTAAACATGTAAATATCAGTGAAATAGTCTCCCAAGTGATAGCCTCTCAGTCAGTCTAAATTAGTTTAAGAAACCAGTTACTGGTCAAACAAATACACAAGTGGTGCCATAGTTAAAACACAATAATAATAATAATAATAATAATAATAATAATAATAATAATAATAATAATAATAATGTGTGTGTGTGTGTGTGTGTGTGTGTGTGTGTGTGTGTGTGTGTGTGTGTGTGTGTGTGTGTGTGTGTGTGTGTGTGTGTGTGTGTGTGTGTGTGTGTGTGTGTGAGAGAGAGAGGTAGCGAGGCTGGGCGGTCAGAGATGAATGAAGAGATAGTCCATTGAAAGCAGTTGAATACCATGACAACTAGGCACAACCTCGGATTTATTCCAAACAGTTACGGCACATTGTAAGGGGGCGTCAATCATCTATTATCTTGCAACCGAAATAAATGCAAAATCTTAGCCTACACAAAAACTTCCAAAAGGAGCCGGACATTTGTCTACATTTCCCCCTTTGTCCGCAGCTTAGCAATCGGTTTGTACGTGTGTTTGCTTAGCCTGACCACCCAGGACTCCCGGAGGATTCGCTGAGAACGAGAATCATTGTCACCCACATCACATAGCCTGCTAGATGAGGGCAGTGAAGCATTAGAAAAGGGCAGAGACATCAGAATAAAAATATCTAAAAATAAATAATATGAACACGATATTCTGCGTCTTGTATTGACTCAATGGCTTCTCATTCGATTTCCCGTTAATTGAAAATAAATTGCTGCAATAAAATAATTGTTATTATTATGAAGAAATGTTGGCTAATATTCCAAAGGGATATAGCCTACTTGTATTATATTGTGTAGCAATGGATAGTCTAGGCAATGCATGGGTGGATGGGTGCTGCAGTTAGATATTTATGACAGAGACAAATAATTATAGTGAGCAGAATGATGATATAATATGGTAATAATTATGATAGTAATACAGGTGAAAATTACCAACATTAATAATTGCAGTCTAATGCAAGTTCCGTATGTAAGCGTCCCAATAAACTGAATGTATTATTCTCCTCTTAGAACTTATTTATCCAAATGTAGCTAGCCTGTTTACAATAAACGCCTTGCGGAGATGGCAAACAACATTCTGAGTCAGGCTATGTTTCATTCATGATAGGCCCTAGGCTACATGATAGGCCCTAGGCTACTCGACTTAAGCCTGAACCAAAATATTGACCTAAAAGGACTTCATGAGTTACCCATATAACACACCCACAATTCAAACTTCGATAAGTAGACTAATAACATACATATTTAAAGGGTGTTTTTGCTCTTAAATAGATACATATTTGCTTTGAAGAGATACATTATAATTTTTTGAAGCAATGCATTATAGTGGGTTGTATAAATGACATGCACAAACCCCCAGTGATGGAAAAGGTATCCAACGGTCATACTTGAGTAAAAGTAAAGATACCTTAATAGAAAATGACTCAAGTAAAAGTAAAAGTCACCCAGTAAAATACTACTTGAGTAAAAGTCAAAAAGTATTTGGTTTAAAATAAACTTAAGTATCAAATGTAAATGCAATTGCTAAAATATACTTCCGTTTCAAAAGTCAAAGTAAAAGTATAAATCATTTCAAATTCCTTATATTTAGCAAACCAGATGGCACCATTCTCTTGTTTTTTTTTATTCACGGAAGGCCAGGGGCACACTCCAACATTCAGACATAATTTACAAACGAAGCATGCGTGTTTAGTGAGTCCGCCAGATCAGAGGCAGTATGGATGACCAGGGATGTTCTGTTGATAAATGCGTGAATTAGACTATTTTCCTGTCCTGCTAAGCATTCAAAATGTAACGAGTACTTTTGGGTGTCAAGGAAAATGTATGGAGTAAAAAGTACATTATTTCCTTTAGGAATGTAGTGAAGTAAAAGTAAAAGTTGTCAAAATCATAAATTGTAAAGTAAAGTACAGATACCCCAAAAAACGACTTAAGTAGTACTTTAAAGTATTTTTACTTAAGTACTTTACACCACTGCAAACGCCCCTCCCCATCTCGGTAATTATCTGTCCCATAATTCTAGTCATCACATTCCTGAGGCACCAGGTTCGGATGTCCCCAAACCCTAGCATTTCACACCCACAGATATTCTTCATCCACTTGACTCCAAGGACCCGCCTACACGTGTTTAGTCTTTCCCTGCGTTATTCCGATTCATTTTCCATTGCAGGTTCAGTGTTTTAACTAACCTTATATGGACCAATCCGACTGGCGATGGCTTCCTTTAATGCTAGTGCTTCTAGTCGTGCAGCATCCATGAGCCTCTCATCTCCATCAACTCCTGCGCTCCTCCATGACCAACACATTGGAGCCCTCTCAACGAGCCAGCGGTGAACAACTAGCCTACTGCATGCCAGGATTAATTATTAGTTTGGCTTGAATTAACCCAAAGGACACAGCCTGAATATCATCTTAACCTCATTTTGAAATACTGTCCTCTTGTTCAGTTATACTGGTTCAGCACAGCAGCAGGGAAAAAACCGAACTCCTGTTTACAGCGCGCACCACAGACTTTCTCACACCATGTCGTTCAACAACACAAAGAAGGGCTTCTCTGTAAAGGACCTTCTGGATCTTCCTGACACCAATGGAGGTTCTGGAACGGAGGAGACCGAGGATGAGAACGAGGAGGAAACTAGTGAGATTATGACGCAAAATCCATCTTTTGAAAACGCTGGAAATGTGCCCTGTAAGAGCCTTTTGTGTGATGGTGGTGGCAATTCCTACTCAAGATGGCTTGCTTCCTCCAACAGCATCCAATATTCATGTGAGTATCTCTTAAAAAAGTTAGTTTCATAAACATCGAGGTATATAATTGACTTGTCCACTTCCTAGTCATATCATCCGTTAAATTAGTTATCAAATAAACCATTAGTAAAAACAAAAACCTTTGCATTAACGTTTTGTTTGTTATACAAAATATCACTATTTCATTTATTAGTTAGGCATATCTCTTATGGTTTTAACTTATTAGCCTACCCTTAAAGTAGTTTATTCATGCATAATCAGAATGTATAATATTATCCGTGCGTAATGCAAGTATCCTTGCGTAATTATCCATGCGTAATCATCATAGTTTAGCACTTGTCACCAATAGGCCATTGTTTTAGATGATATAGCTAATCTCTTCAATATTTTCCATTCTTTGCTCAGATTAAATATGTGCTATGATGAAAATATTAACTATATTTTCACAGTATTTATTGTCTATCTTGTATAATAACCAGACCGACTATTTTTCATTTTAAACAGTGCATGGTTTGTCAGTTGATTCTCGAAACGAACCGAAATCTCCAGAGCTGTCCGTTGACGAATCCCAAGATATCGACAGAGATAGCAGCGACTCTGGAAAGAAGAGGAAAAGGAGGGTGCTGTTTTCCAAAGCGCAAACATATGAACTAGAGCGACGATTCCGACAACAGAGATATCTCTCTGCGCCCGAGAGGGAGCACCTTGCCAACGCACTACGACTGACACAGACCCAGGTGAAGATCTGGTTCCAGAATCACCGGTATAAAATGAAGAGAGCACGCGCTGAGAAGGGTATGGAAATGGTTCATCTCGTGTCCCCAAGACGCGTGGCCATTCCGGTTTTGATTCGGGATGGAAAACCGTGTGACACTAGCAAGACTCAGGAACTTGAGGCCTCGTTCAGGGCTGGAATACCTCTCTCGGCGTATAGCGCCTATTCTCTCCATCACATGCATATGCGCTCTCACTACAGCCCCGACGCCATGTCACAACTGCCCAGTCTGCATCACTTGGCGCAAATGTACCAATGGACTTGGTAGTGGATGGATAGGCCTACTTCAAATAACTTTCAAAAATATATAAATACAACTTTTCCTGATTTTGATTGAAATTATTTTACTCACATCAAAGCTGATTATGGGGTGGCCCATGAGGTCTGGACAATGTTACGCCTCGTGAGATTCCGTTAGTTTTATAATGTGTGCTAAATTAATGTTATAAATAAATGTTATTTCTGTTGTAAAGTGCTCATATTATGAATTAATTTATGTTTTTTGGTGGACTGTGTATTTAACTTGAATATTTATGGCCGTGAATAAACCTTTTCTAGTTTGATGTGGTTATTATTCATTTATTAAACTACATTAAATTACTTTACACAGGTCCAATAAGGGGAATCGAACAGACACTTCATTTAGGGTAACTTGTTAATTATTTGTGAAAATTGTTATATGCGTATAGATGCCATTACGCACAAAACTAGATGAATACGAGTCGCTTTTTTAAAAGTAGCAGATCGTGCAAAACATGTTTTATGTCTTCCTGTATCTAATTCGGTTCAGGTGTGTTATAGAATCACAAAGGAAAAATAGAAGCAACCCTGAAGTGAATCTCTATCACAAACACAGTCTTGTCAAAAGTAGAAACGCCTTATGCATATGCCTACAACAAATAGGCCTATTTTGCTATATTTTCCTTAGGTTTCCAGATTGAAAAGGATGTATGGCTTATTATAGGATTGCATATGTATGGATATTAATACATTCTGAAGTTAGAAAATACAAAGCATCCTCTGTTGTAATTATATAAAAGTCCCATTTGACTTTCTCAATTCCTATGAAGAATGTTTCCTGTTGCAACAAATGAATTATAGTCAATATAAACACACTTGAAACTACATGATTTCTCACTCATTTTCTCACAGAACTGCATTGCTTATCAATTCACAAAGAAACCCCCAAATATAGAATAGAGTGCAGCTGTGGATGTTTAGGGCATGCACAGCATGGAAAAGAGAGGGGTGTTGTGGCAGTGGTGGACGGAGAGCTGTGGACGTTTTTGTTTCTATTCAGCTGTGTCAGTTGGGTCAGCTCATCTCCCAGTAAGGATGAGGAATAAGTATCTCTGAGGTTTTCTAAAGACTGTCTCTTGGCTCTTTTGTGACCCTTGTTGGACACGTTGTATTCTGTATGGGCAGCTGGCCTCGTGGAGGGGATGGGGAGGGACCCCTAATAAAACCCAACTTGTGTCTGCTTTCAAACATCCCATTGTTACCTCCCAAGGGGAAAAATAATTACAAATTCATGCAGTATCTTTTCAGGGAGGGGGCCTTATCCTAAGGTTCCTCTGTGCAACCCCACTCTGTATTTCTCTCTCTACCCCTCTCTCTTACTCTCTCTCTAAATATTTTTAACCAGTTTTCCAGATACTTTGCACATAAAATATCTGTACTCACTCTAGTCTTCTAAAACACATGTTGTAGTCAGTGGATAACTGTACACTCATCATGCACTTCAAGCACAACTTTGAAGTGATAAATAATACATCATATGTTTATAAGCTATAATGTTACTCGCATTCCTTATAGAGTATCACAGTATGAGTCATAATACCCATAAAACCTAGCAGTCAAACAGGGAAATGGTTCCAATCGTTTCTCCACCATTCATTTTTCCCATGGGGGATTTTAGAAACACTTAAAATAAGGGCTGTGTTTTGTGTAGGCTTACCCTGGTGTGAAGTTTTGATAACCGTGTAAATCTCTCTAGGACAAGGTGACTTTTCTCAATATATTTGCCTGTATTTACCCCCTCGAAATGAAATGTTAATTAGCTGCTAATGTGGCTATCATAAAGAACTACAAATGCCATGATCAGGACGAGACTGCCGAATCGAGGCAAAGGTAAGAATCTCTAGATTAACCATCTAATGTTAGCTAAATGTAGTAATTAATACATTGGCTACATTTCTTTAAATTGACAATTCTGTGAACTTTCTTGCGCAAGTTTTAAATTGACACAATACCTGTTAGCAAAGCGAGAGATGACATGCAGGAGCTTTCAGGGATTTGTAGTTTTGCATGTCTACTTTGATGCTAATTAGCATTTTTAAATCTGAGAGTAAATAGAGCCGAATATATTGATAAAAGTCACCTTGTCCAAGAGTGATTTACATGGTTATCAAATCGTCACGCCAGGGTAAGCCTACATGAAACACAGCCCTTATTTGAAGTGTTTCTAAAATCCCCTATCGGAAAATTGAATGATTGGAACCATTTCCCTGTTTGACCGCTAGGTTTTATAGGTATTATGACACCACTGTGGGGCTCTATTAAGTCAACCAGCAACTGAGCATCAAACAACTATGTATTATTTTTAGCCACAAGATGGCAGTATATGCCTTAATGAAAAAGGATAAAGGTGCCTACAGTCTTCACAGGGGATTTGTATTATAACCACTGGGTATACTGGATATCCCTTACCTGCTCCCAGGACCAATATTACAAATATTTTATCATTTGAGCAGTTCATATTTGTAATCTAATTTATTTGTATTGAGCATTTTAGACAAATGTTTGTTTTTGTTCAGTTATTGTTACAGAAAGGTTTAGGTCTTTAATTAATGAGATTATTTTTTATTTAAATTGATTACATCTATTTAAATCTAATCATGTTTAGAGGTCAAGAGTTAGAATATCCATTGATTAATTTAATAGACAAATAACAGTTAAACGAGAGTGTCTCTGTCAAAAGCTCGACAATCACCTCATTCAGTTTAGAACAGGCAGCAGGGGGACATGGGAGAGCTGTGAGGGGAGTGGTTTGTCCACAGAGGGGAGCAGTTGGGCAACAAAAGACCTTTGATGAATACACACGAAAGTCCTCATTTACTAGTGATATTTTAACCTACATACTGTAATGGAGGTGGAAGGGGGGGGGGGGGGGGGGGGGGATAGTGACATACAGTGACAACCTCTGTATGTGCATTTGTTTCTTTTGGAGGGGTTGAAATAAGTTTCAGTTGGACATCCGTGTACATTGGACAATAAGGTAATCTTCTTCTTCTTCTTCTTCTTCTTCTTCTTCTTCTTCTTCTTCTTCTTCTTCTTCTTCTTCAACCTGCTCCACCTCCAGTCTCACAGTTTCTTAGACCCTCAAGACAAGGCTCCTCCATCCAGATAATCTATAGTGCCTTCAGAAAGTATTCATACACTTTGATTTATTTCACATTTTGTTGTGTTACAGCCTGAATTCAATATTGATTACATACAGTGAGGGAAAAAAGTATTTGATCCCCTGCTGATTTTGTACGTTTGCCCACTGACAAAGAAATGATCAGTCTATAATTTTAATGGTAGGTTTATTTGAACAGTGAGAGACAGAATAACAACAAAAAAATCCAGAAAAACGCATGTCAAAAATGTTATAAATTGATTTCCATTTTAATGAGGGAAATAAGTATTTGAACCTTCTGCAAAACATGACTTGGTAAGCAACTCCAGTGTATTGGCCTTGTGTTTTAGGTTATCGTTCTGCTGAAAGGTGAATTTGTCTCCCAGTGTCTCGTGGAAAGCAGACTGAACCAGATTTTCCTCTAGGATTTTGCCTCTGCTAAGCTCTATTCCGTTTTTATTTTTATCCTAAAAAACACCCTAGTCCTTGGTGATGACAAGCATACCCATAACATGATGCAGCTACCACCATGATAAAAAATATGAAGAGTGGTACTCAGTGATGTGTTGTGTTGGATTTGCCCCAAACATAACGCTACAGGACATAAGGTTAATTTCTTTGCCACATTTTTGCAGTTTTATTTTCTTATTGCAAACAGGATGCATGTTTTGGAATATTTGTTATTCTGTACAGGTTTCCTTCTTTTCACTCTGTCATTTACGTTAGTATTGTCGAGTATCTGCAATGTTGTAGATCCATCCTCAGTTTTCTCCTATCATAGCCATTAAACTGTAACTGTTTTAAAGTCAGTTGGCCTCATGGTGAAATCCCTTAGTGGTTTCCGTCCTCTCCTTCAACTGAGTTAGGAAGGACGCCTGTATCTTTGTAGTGACTGGGTGTATTGATACACCATCCAAAGTGTAATTAATAACTTCACCATGCTCAAAGGGATATTCAATGTGAGCTTTTTTTTTAACCCATTCTCCAAATAGGTGTCCTTCTTTGCGAAGCATTGGAAACCTCCCTGGTCTTTGTGGTTGAAATTCACTGCTCGACTGAGGGACCTTACAGATAATTGTATGTGTGGGGTACAGAGATGAGGTTAAACACAATTATTGCACACATAGTGAGAGTCCATGCAACTTAGTATGTGACTTGTTAAGCACATTTTTACTCCTGAACTTATTTATTATTTTACCTATATCCAATTGGTAGTTACAGTCTTGCCCTATCGTTGCAACTCCCGTATGGACTCGGGAGAGATGAAAGTCGAGAGCCATGCGTCCTCCGAAACACGACCCTGCCAAGCCGCACTGCTTCTTGACACACTGCTTGCTTAACCCGGAAGCCAGCCGCACCAATGTGTCGGAGGAAACACTGTACAGCTGGCGACCGAAATCAGCTTGCAGGCTCCTGGCCCGCCACAAGGAGTTGCTAGAGCGCGATGGGACAAGGACATCCCGGGCCAGCCAAACCCTTCCCTAACAACGCTGGGCCAATTGTGCGCCGCCTCATAGGTCTCCCAGTCACGGCCAACTGTGACACAGCCTGGGATTGAACTCGGGGCTGTAGTGACACATCTAGCATTGCTGTGCAGTGCCTTAGACCGCTGCGCCACTCGGGAGGCCACCTCCTGAACTTATTTAGGCTTGCCATAGCAAAGGGGTTGAATACTTATCGACTCAAGACATTTCAGCTTTTCATTTTTTATTAATTTGTAAACATTTCTACAAACATAATTCCACTTTGACATGATGGGTTATTGTGTGTAGGCCAGTGATACAACATCTCTGTAACAAGGGAAGGAACTTTCTGAAGGTACTGTACCTCCTGACAAAACTACAGATGTAGGATCTTAACTTGTCTTT